ATTAAGTTCATGGCCAGACCGTCACAATTGAAGCCAGTTTACGTTCGAAAGCTCTTGCGCCTAGACGCTCACGGCGGACAGGTCCATGCGAATAGACACAAGTTTACTCATACTCAGACCTACTCATACTCAGACCTGCTCCTACGCAGTCTTATTCATGCTGATACCTACTTATACTCAGAATTGCGGGGCGCTGGTTTCAGCACCAATAATGGGAGCCGCCAGGGGTGATTTCACGGTCCCGTTCGCGGCCGTTTTGTGGGGATGTCTCAAGCGGTTTGATTGTTTTCTGGCTCAACATCCTTGGCTACTTGGTTTCAGCACCCCTATGGGGGAGCCGCCAAGGGTGTTTTCAAGGCTCAGCTCGTGGCCATTATGTGGGGATGTCTCAAGCGGTTTGCTTGTTTTCTGTTGTTTTTTTCTGCGTTGTGTCCCAACTGGCTCCCGTTGCCGCGCACGGCGATGAAGGAGGAGTGACCAGGTGTTGCTGGCGCAGAGCTTGTGTCACCGTGGGATGTTGCTTTCTTGGCTCGTCATCGAAGAGGTGAGCATTGTGTCTGCCGCAAACTACAACATGCTCGACTTCCGCGCCATGCGTGGGCGCACCAAGTCCCACGATGTCTTGGAGGGAAACTATAAGAAGCCAGGGTGCAGCTTTGGTAGGTGCCCGATCGTCATCCACCTTGGCGACTTCCTGCAGTTGACACCGACTGCGCAGCTCAGCCTCGTGACAGATCCCAACGAGAAAGACGAGGACGGCAATTACGTGCTCTCGGAGCCGCCCTCGCTTGAGATTCAGAACGCCCTCAGGGTCTTCAAGAGGATCACCTGTGTCATCGAGCTCCAAGGAACGAAGCGCTTCGTCAAGGGCGATCCCCCCATTGAGTTCATGAGCTGCATGCGGCAGGGCAAACCGAGCCCAGATCCTGTCTGGCGGGCCTTCGAGGCGAGGTTTGCGAAAGACAGCCGCCCCGACGCGAGCCCGGAGCCGGACCCGCGACACGCGCAGAAGGAGTTCCTCGAGGGTTGCGGCTTGGCCATGTACTGGGAACCTCTGGCCCGCTGGATCACCAAGCGCGCGCGACGCGACGCCCGCGCGCTCGAGGTGCCGTTGGTTTTCCTGCAGGCCGCCGACGAATGCCAGACCAGCAAAGACAAGGAGTCGTACTCCAAGATGCTGAACGTCGCCAAAATTTACCACACGGCCGCATGCACGGCGTGCTGCCCGCCCACGTGGAGATGCGGACTCGTTTCGCTGGCAAGTTCAATGGCAACTATGGCTTGGTCCAGGAGCAACGGGCTACGATCGTCGACTTCGTGTTCCACGAGGACGACCAGAACAACTACAACAGCGCTGGCCCCGGCGAGCTCTTCAGGCCTCGCTGCTCGCCCACTGGCATCTGGTTGCAGGTCGACGATTTCACGGAGGCGCCCACATGGAAAGATTTCATGGACTACGTCGGCAAAGATGAGAAGATTGCTCGCGGCCTTTTCTGCATGCCCTTGATGGAGACGACCTTCACTTGGGAGGCCACGTCCGTGGCGCACAGCGTGAAGCAGTTTGGTGTCATGCTCTCGCACGCGCACTACCTGACGACGACTGCCTCGCAAGGGCAGGCGATACGCGCTGCAGTGACCATTGACTGCGCGCGCGCCAGGCGCCTAAGGGGCGACGAGGCATCAGCGATGACACTGGGTGGTTGAACCTCTAGGTGATGTTCTCCCGCGCCACTCGGATGGCGGACATGTTGCTGGTGCGGCCGCCGCCTCGCTGGCTTTTAGAAAGAGGCCCGCCAGTGTCAGCGAAATGCGCTCTTCAACGCTTCGCGGCGTCTGAGGACTCGACGGTGGCGAGAGCCGCCCTACTTGCTGGGGAGTACGGCATCATGCTGCCAGAGGAATAGTGACGGACAGTTGTCTGTCTGGCCCGATGCCTAGTGCGGCGGCTTTTTTGTTTCCCAGATCATTCTGCCGCTTGCCTTGCACTGCAAAGCCCGACGCCCAGTGCAGACGGCTGTTTGCCTGTTTTTCTTCGGTCTCCGCGCTCAGCTATTTTCCCGCCTCCGCGCTGAGCCAAGCCTGGTCCGATTCCAAGTGTGGACGGCCCTTGCGCGAACGCATGTAATTTGCAAGCTATGCCCGGTGCCAAGTGCTGACGGCTAAAGCCGAGGCGCAAGCCGCGAGGTTGGCAGTAGTAGCGCGTGCCCTTAGCGCGTCAAGTGCGAACGACTTCCTTTGCCGTTGCCAGCTAGACCCGATGTCGAGCGTGGACGGTTCATGCTGAAGGGCAGATCTTGAGGTGTCGTCTGAAGCGCTTGTCATTCGTACTCTCCACCTGGTGCTTCGGACGGGGAGCCAAAGGAGGAGTCCTTTGCCGTAGAAAAAAAAGATACGCAGGCGTAGGTGTTTGAGTAAACGTTTACATGAGGTGTTTGTGCAGCTTCGCGTGCGCTTGTCGCTCACATGGACGCGCGCCTAAACAAAATGCATCACTGATACACGCTCGCCTTGGCACAACCCTGCACTTTTACAACATGATATTCGCATGTTGCGTTGCATGGCTAGACGCGCATTCCCATATCCCACAGACAGTTTTCCTTTTTTTTATAAAAAAAACATGCACATATGGGAATCTCCACGCTGTGAGTAATTTTTGTTATTTTTGAACATTTATCAGAGTGAGGGGGCCGAACGGTCATTCACTGTCCCTGGGTGCGTGGCTGAAGTGGGATTCCGCGGTGCGGATTCTTGTTGTTGATGTTGTTGTTGTTGTTGTTGTTGTTGTTGTTGTTGTTGTTGTTGTTGTTGTGTGTGTGCTGTTTGTTGTTTGTTGTTTGTTGTTGGCTGTTGGTTGTTGGTTGTTGGTTGTTGGTTGTTGGTTGTTGGTTGTTGGTTGTTGGTTGTTGGTTGTTGGTTGTTGCCGTCGTCCCACCCGCAACCCGCCCCGCGACCCGCCCGCGACCCACCCCGCGACCCACCCCGCGACCCACCCGCGACCCACCCGCGACCCACCCCGCGACCCACCCCGCGACCCACCCGCGACCCACCCCGCGACCCACCCGCGACCCACCCGCGACCCACCCCGCGACCCACCCCGCGACCCACCCGCGACCCACCCCGCGACCCGCCCGCGGCCCACCCCGCGACCCACCCGCGACCCACCCGCGACCCACCCGCGACCCACCCGCGACCCACCCCCGACCCACCCCGTGACCCACCCGCGATCCATTTTCGACCCGAACCGCGTTCAAGGTACAAACCACCATTTTCGGCGCCAGCGGCGTTTTTTTGGCATTCTCTCCAGGTGGAGAGCCCGCGACCCACCCCGCGACCAATTCGCGACCAACCCGCGACCCAAACCACGTTCAGGGTACACATTTTTCGGCACCTGCGGCGGGCATCTTTTGCAGTCGCTTCAGGTGGAGAGCCCGCAGCCCACCCGCGACCACGCTCAGGGTGCAAACCAATTTGTTCGGCGCCTGCGGCGGGCATCTGTTGCACTCGTCCCCGGTGGAGAACCCGCGGCCCACCCGCGACCCAAACCACGTTCAGTGTACAAACCAATTTTTCGGCGCCTGCGGCGGGCTGCTTTTGCATTCCTTCTAAGTGGAGGTGGGGAGCCCGCGACCCACCCGCGACCCAAAGCACGTTCACTGAACAAACCAATACCGCACAAGCGCGGCGGCGGACTTTTTGCATGCCGTGTCAGCCCGCGACGATTATTCAAGCCCCGCGCATCCACACCAGCCCGTCCAGCAACTTTGCCTTGGCGAGTTGCCTTGATCAGAGAAGTCGGGAAGCATAAAGTGGAAAAAGGATTGCGTTGCCGTTGTCTTGGGAAAAGGAGGGGGATGCAGGAGGAGTAAACAGGGGACGAGGAGGACGCGGAAGTAGAGAGGATGTAAGGATAATGTGGAAAAAAGGAGGAGGAGGAGGAGCAGGAGGACGAGGAGGGGGAGGAGGGGGAGGAGGGGGAAGGAGGAGGACGAGGAGGGGGAGGAGGGGGAGGAGGAGGATGAGATGGACGACAATGGGAGGACGATGATGGAGGCCGATAAGGGGGAGGACGACAATGGGAGGACGATGATGGAAGGACGAGGGGGGGAGAGGGAGGACGAGGAAGAAGAGGAGGAGGAGGAGGACGACGTGGAGGAGGAGGATGACGATGACGATGAGGACGAGGACGAGGACGAGGAAGAGGAGGAGGAGAAGGAGGAGGAGGAGGAGGAGGAGGAGGAGGAGGAGGAGGAGGAGCACAGCGCCATCGACGGGGAAGGTGGGGGCCACGAGGTCCGCCGGCTCGACGACGCCCGCGTCGCCCGCGCCCGCCCCCTCGCTCTTACCCGCAATTGCGGGGTGCTGCGTCTCTCTATATGTGTTGACACTGGTGTAGCTTTCTCACAAAATCCGCCTGTACAGTCGGGGCCTTGACCTAAGGAGCCCAACATAAGGAGCGAGGCCCCTTTTTCCCATAGGTTAAACTCCGATTCCCGATCGAATACCTAAGGAAAGCCTCAGGCAAGCTGCGAAACACTGAAGGAGCGCGGAGCCCCTCCCCAACGAAAAGGGTTCCTTCTTCAGGGCCCCGACTGTAGGAGGACACGCCCGCCCTCGCACCGATTGTAGGAGGACACTGGTGTAGCTTTCTCACAAAATCCGCCTGCACAGTCGGGGCCCTGAAGAAGGAACCCTTTTCGTTGGGGAGGGGCTCCGCGTTCCTTAAGTGTTTCGCAGCTTGCCTCAGGTGTTCCTTCTGTCTTCGATCGGGAATCGAAGGTTCACTCATGGAAAAGAGGGGCCTCGTTCCTTATTGAGGGTTCCTGAGGTCAAGCCCCCGCCTGTAGGAGGACAGGCCCGACCTCGCACCACTCAGGCCAGGCCCTGGCCAGGCCAGGCCATGGCCCTGGCCTCGCCTGGCAGGCATGAGGAGGAGGAGGAGGAGGAGGAGGAGGAGGAGGAGGAGGAGGAAGAGGAGGAGAGGAGGACCTCGCACCACTCAGGCCAGGCCCTCGCCTCGCTGGAGCAGCGCCTGGAGCGCCTGGAGCGCCGCCTCGCCGCGCCGAGCGCGGAGGACGCCCTGCGCCTCGGCGTGCTGCCGCCGGGCGCCGTCGCGGGCGCCAACAAGGCCGACCAGGAGGCGCTGCTGAGGCGGGGGCTGGTTTTCCCTTTTTTGGCCCCCTGCAAGAGCAGAGGAGGGAGGAGGAGGAGGAGGAGGAGGAGGGGGAGGAGGAGGAGGAGGAGGAGGAGGAGGAGGAGGAGGAGGAGGAGGAGGGGAGGAGGAGGAGGAGGAGGAGGAGGAGGAGGAGGAGGAGGAGGAGGAGGAGGAGGAGGAGGAGGAGGAGGAGGAGGGGGATGATGATGATGAGGAGGAGGAGGAGGGGGAGGAGAAGGAGGGGGATGAGGAGGAGGAGGAGGAGGAGGAGGAGGAGGAGGAAGAGGAATAGGAGGACGGTGAGGACAGGGATGCGGAGGAGCGGAACCCTCCCCCCCTTCCTGCGGCACCCTGGCGCACACTCCTTCCTGCACCCGCAGTGGAGGGTCCTGGCGCCCACGCCTTCTGCACCCCAGAGAAGGGACAAGGTCCCCATACCGCTAGCCTTGCCTCGTCTTCGCCTTGCTGCGGCCTCCCGGGGGGGCCCTCGTCGCCACCGCCAGAGTCGCCTCGGAGTCCTGGTCAGAGCGCACGTCGGGAGAGGCCCGGCAGAACGCCCTGCAATCGAAGAAGGAAAAACACCTACTCCGCGCCTGGGCCCCCCTCGGATCCGCGCCTGGGCCCCCCTGCGCGCGGATTTCTTGGATCCGCGCCTGGGCCCCCCCTCGGCGGCGCCTCCAGCGCCGGGGGTCCAGCGCGGATGCAAGAAATCCGCGCGCGGAGCGCCACAAGCTTATGTTGATGTGTTTTGGTCTTCTTCGATTTGGCCCTCTTCAAGACACCACCGCTCTAAACTCGATGGGGCATGCATATGTGCGATGCCGACGTGCGCCTCTCACGCACGCCCAGCGACCCCACTCGCCCGCGTGAGGCACGCAGGCCGAACCTTGCAATCGTCAAAGGGGAGCCCCCAGGCTGGATGCGTACGTCGACAGGCGGATCCAGGAGAGACTCTCGGGGCACAGCCGGACGCACCCGGTCGAGCAGGCCGGGCCAGAGGGGGCGGGCGCAGGCGCGAGGCCGGCGATCGATGCCCCAGCCGAGTCCGAGGACGCGCAGCTGGAGGCCGCCCACTTGGACCAGGGCGACACCTACTCCATTCGAGGGGGGGAAGACGGCATAAACATCGGCTTTCGGCGCTCCGGGGAGGGGGCGACCGCAGCGGTGACCCGTGCACTCCGTGGCGATGCACGCGGCAGAGACTGACCAGCGGATCAGTGCACAGCAGCATCCCAGAAGTAAGAACGCACCGGCGAGAAGGGGAGAAGGGAGGAGGACGAGGACAGGGGAGGAGAACTGGAGAAGGGAGGAGGAGGGAGGCAACTTGTCTCTCTCCTTCTTCTCCTAGGAACCAAAAAACCAAACAAATACATAGACAGATCGATAGATAACTTTCGGCGCTCCGCGCGGATTTCTTGGATCGGCGTTGGGGCTCCCCTCGCAGCGCCTCCGGCGCCAACGGGCTTCCTCCGCGCGCGCCGGGGAGCGGCGTTGGGGCCCCCCTGGCGGCGTCTCCGGCGTCGCCACTGGCTCGCTCCGCGCACGAGCGCCAGGGATAGGCGCGGGCCCCCCCCCCCTGGCGCGCGGGACGCGCCAGGGGGGCCCCTGCGCGTAGGTCGGGCATGTCCTCCTAAAGGCGGGTGTTGGAAAGAGTCCCAAAATAGACCCAACTGATCAAACGTATTAGAGCATTCGTTCCCATCTTTTTGTTGTTGTTGTTGTCGTCTGTTCTTCCTCTTGTAGAGGGACAGGCCCGAGTTCACCCTACACCGATCGAAGAAATCCGCGCGGAGCGCCGAAAGTTTATGTTTATGCTGTTGTTTGTTCCTCGATCCATGGGAGAGTCCGTCTGGGACATGAGCGTCTTCATCGGACACCCCTGTCTGGGGACGCCGAACTCAGTGGCGACGTTTGCCGCGTATCTCGCGAACTTGGTCGTGCAGGCCGGTTTCATCTTCATAGTCATGGATTCGCTCGCGAATGAGAACAACCTATCTCCCGAGACGTTGAACGGTCTCTTGCGCTTCCGCTTGGGCATCGCCCACAGGGCCGAGTACGCGGACGTCGTGCTGCAGCAGTCACTGGCGAGCCAGATCTGCAACCAGGACTTCAAAGTGCACTACGCGGGCGCCCAGATGGGACTGTTCTCGGCCATCAAGTCGGGATGGAGGCCGGGAGACAGGCAGTTGGGCCCGGTGCTCGCTCTGCTGGCGCAGCTGCTCTGGCTCGGTACCATCCTTGGATGCTCGCTCTGGGGACCTTGCTGAGGGCCGCCTAACCCAGACCCCCCCGAGTCCTGAAAACATCGCGACGGAAGGTTCTTCGTTGTGTTCGGCCTCGGGGGGCCCTTACGGGGCCTCGTGGCCGTCAAACGCGATTCGGGCTGAAACACCGGTCGTGTGACGAACCAACAACACACACCCATATTTCATCGGGGGGTCGGAGAGGGCTGTGGGTGCGTGTTGTCGGATGGGGGTCCCCGCTCGAACGGGAGCGTTCCCCAGGGTCCGACAACCCGCACCCATATCCATGGCCAGTCCTCCTCCCAACGACCCCCCCTATGGGTATGGGTGTGTGTTGTTCGTTCGTCATCGGGGAATGGGTCGAGACCTCTGGGGGCAGATGTTCTGAAAAGCATGACGTCGGGGACCACCTCACGGATCTGTTCCATTCTAGCTCGGCGCACGAGAGGGGGCGAGTGGTTCCAGGAAAGTCCTCCCCCCTCCTCCTCCTCCTCCTCTTCCCCCCCTCCCCCCTCGTCCTCTCTCCTCCAACTCCTCCTCCTCCTCCTCCTCCTCTCCTCTCTCTCCTCTCCTCCTCCTCCTCCTCCTCCTCCTCCCTCTTCCTCGTCCTCCTCCTCCTCCTCCTCCTCCTCCTCCTCCTCCTCCTCCTCCCTCCTTCCCAGAACGAGCATCCGAGCATCCTCCGCGAGACCTGCCAGACCCTCAAGTTCGCCCGGACGCTGCTTACCCTGCCTCGCGCGCGGGCCACCGGCGTGTGCTCGACGCCCGGCGGCGAGGCGGCGCGCCTAGGCAGCATCAGCTGGTGGGCTCGCTTTCCACCGCCACCACCACAAGTAGGAGGGCGAGGGGGGGCCCTCCTCCTCCTCCTCCTCCTCCTCCTCCTCCTCCTCCTCCTCCTCTCCCTCCACCTCCCTCCCCCCTCCAATTTGTGGTGGTGGCTGTGGTGGACAGCGGGCCCATCATCAGCCGTCTGCGCTGCGCGGCGGCGCTGCTGGGCATCGTCCTGCCGCGGCTCGTGCTCGCGGGCTTCCTGGGGCTGGCCGGGGTGCTGTACCTCGGGCAGACGAGCGCGATGGGCGACCTCATCCTGACCGCCATCGCCCTGGCCTTTGTGCTCGACTGCGACGAGCTCATCTTCCAGATGTTCGTGCCGCACCGGGCCCTGGCACTCCAGGCCCGCCTGGAGCCGATCCCGGTGCCGTCGCTAAGCGCCAAGGTCGGGTCTTGGGCGATCCCCCTGTCCAGGGCGCTGCTGGTGTCGGCCGCCCTGTTGCTCATCAGCGAGCTCGTGCTGACCCCCTTCCACGGGCGCCTCAAGCAGGCCCCCTCTTCCTCCTCTGCTCCTGCTGCTGCCCTTCCTCCTCCCCTTGTCGCTGATACGTTTCATGGGTATGTTCTTATCGCTCAAGGCTCTAATCCTGTTGTGCCTCCGCGCTTAGTCCTGTTGTGCCCCCGCGCTGACCAGAGAGGCGAATGCATCGGCAGGGTTATCGTCGCGCCTTCTCCTTTCGTCTCCCCCTCCCCCTCTCCAAAATATGCGCTGAAAAAAACAAAAAAAAACAAAAAAACGGGCGCCTCAAGCAGGCCAGTTACATCTTGTGCTCTGGAGACTTGGACTTCGTCTACGCGGAGAACAGCGCCACTGGTCTAGTCCACGTCTCCAGGTCCAAGGGCTTCCAGACAACGAGCGAGGACTGGGCGTACGTCGAGCAGGTGGTGCTGCAGGTGGCGTCGGAGGCGCGCGGCCGGGTGGAGCTGTCCACGGGGCACGGGTGGCAGGTACCCTCGGTGTTGGAGCGTCTCCTCCGTTCTATGGACGACGACTCTTTTGCAGTGCCGGCCCAGATCCAGCCAGGGGCAGACACAATGGCGCAGGCTGTGTTCTCGTCTGCGGCCTTCGGGGAGATCGTGGAAATGCAGGGCTGGACGACGGACACCGCCGCGGGATCCCTTCCCTGCAGCGACCTTGGCGTGGAACAGAGCGGGCATGCTGCGCTGGCGAGGCTACGACTGATCACGGGCGACCCCAGCATCACTGATTGCCAGGACGTGCCCTGGCAGTATTGCTCGCAGTGGAACATGACGCAGCTGCGCGCCTTGTGCCCCGTGAGGTGTAGCTGCAACCGGCCTACTGACGACGGGGCCTTGACAGGTTTTTTTGGTCATCCGAACTATGGATGTCCTGCGCAGTGTACTTCTCTCGTATCCGCTTACAGCGAGCACGAGTACCTTCGTTTGGGTGCTACTTATGCAAATTGGTCGGTCGACTGTGCCGACCACGAGCCAGACCTCTGGATAGACTCGGACGGCTGCGGCAATAACGATTGGGGGACGACGGGTGACATATACGGCGAATATTGCGATGAAGACCGGTACGACAGCAACTCCACATTTGCTTGCACATCAGGGTTCTACGACGACGAACAGTTCTCGGCACAGCTCATGTGCTGCGGTTGCGGCGGCGGGACCTCCGTAGAGGTCGGGACCTCCATAGAGTGCGTCGAAAACCTTACAGACGGTTGCCTGATGATGGATCGCGGTGCATTCTTCTGGGTTTTGTATGTCAGAGGTTTGTTTGAGTATTTGTTGGTGCGCTCGGGCTTCGAAGAGATGCTCGAAGAGAACATGAACGAGGAGGCGCTGAATATCCCAAATGAGACACGGCCCGACTTCATTCAGTACATCCTCAATGGTAGCATGATGTATTCCCTCATGGACCATAGCTGGGAGTTTATGCCTGGCTTCGACCACCCGCGGAATTTGGTAGGCTGCGAGTACCTCACCTCCTGGGAGTTCAAGATGCTGCTCAGCATCGACCTCTGCTCCCCCGACCACTTTACTTCCATCTCGGGCAGAGCCAAGGGGGTCTTACCACTGGGGGGGTCACCAGTTCCTCATGGAATTCGAGGTTCCAGGATCGAAGCTCGAGGAGGCTCTGGACGCTTGCGAGTCGTCTCGGGGGGCCGTGGAGTGTTGTTCGGGCCCCTCTTCCTTCGAGTAGGAAGGCTCGGAATTCGGATCCGCTGCTTTGTTTTGCGATCCCGTGAGCAGGGGCGGAAATTCTCGCGCCATTGATCAAGCTCCTCTGATGTCGATCTCCGCCCTGCTCTTTTTCGGCGCTGTTTCCGCCATACCTTTGCGGACATGTCCGCCTGGTCGGGGGAGCACGCGGAGAGCACGCACTGGTCGGGGGTTGCTCATCCTCCTCCTTCGCCTCCGCATCCTCCTCCTCCTCCTGCTCCCCCTCCTCCTTCATTCCTCCTTCTCCTCCCTCTTCCTCCTTCCCCTCCCCCTCCTCCTCCTCCTCCTCCTCCTCCTCCTCCTCCTCCTCCTCCTCCTCCTCCTCCACTGATCGGGAGGGGGCGCCGCTCCCTCGAGGCACAGCGAGGCCCGGCCCGTCCGTGTCGTCAAGTGTAGCCCCAGCCCCGCCGGGCCCTGCTATCTCAGCCCCGCTGGAGGAGGAGGAGCAGGGAGGAGGAGGAGGAGGAGGAGGAGGAGGAGGAGGAGGAGGGCGGGAGGAGGAGGAGGAGGAGGAGGAGGAGGAGGAGGAGGAGGAGGAGGAGGGGGGGGTAGGCTCATCGAAGCCCGAAGGGAGCAGCCTATATGCCCATCTACAGGGAGCAAGTCGGCAACTGGGGCCGAGGCCATGCCAATGGGGGTAGAGTTGGTTAAAGATGCTCGCTCCGGCGCCCAGTGGTGTCCCCACCAGGGCCCATTCACATGGATCCCGATTCTGGCCAGCCCGATCCGATTCGACTCGGATCTTCCCTCGACCCGATTCGGCCCAGCGCTTGCATTGCGCTGTTGTGCGCCCCGGCGCGGTCGAAACGATTCGATCCCGTTTCCATGCCGACCGATGCGGCCCGACCCACCGTGCATAGGGGAACGAAGAGTGACACAAACATAGAAATTCGGAGGTCCGCACGGACCTCCGAGCTTGTACATGTATGCCCGATCTCACGATCCGATGCTGGGCGACCTTGTCTTGGCACTGCCCGTCCTTCCAGCGGCTCTGCCCCGCCTCCTGCGGCTGCAGCCCGGGCAGCCCGCAGAGCCAGTGCCCCATGCAGTGCCTGTAGAAGGAGGATCAGGAGAAGGAGGAGGGGAAGCTGGGTCAGGAGGAGCAGCAGGAGAAGGAGGAGGAGGAAAGAGAAGGAGGAGGACGAGGAGGAGGAGGAGGAGGAGGAGCAGAAGGAGGATGAGGAGGAGGAGAAGGAGGAAGAGGAGGCAGGAGTAGGAGGCAGGAGGAGGAGGAGGAGGAGGAGGAGGAGGAGCAGGAGCAGGAGGAGGGAGGAGGAGAGGGAGGGTGAGGAGGCGGAGGAGGAGCAGGAGGAGGAGGAGGCGGAGGAATGGAGGAGGAGGGGGAGGAGGAGGAGGAGGAGGAGGAGGAGGAGGAGGAGAAAGAGGAGGAGGAGGAGGAGGAGGAGGAGGAGGAGGAGGAAAGAGGAGTAGGAGCAGACGTGAGGAGGAAGGGGGTGGATGAGGGGGATCACGAAGAGGATGAAGCGGGAGGAGTAGTTGAAGGAGGAGGAGGTGGAGGAGGTGGAGGAGGAGGAGGAGGAGGAGGGGAGGAGGATGAGGAGGTGAGGAGGAAGGGGGTGGAGGAGGGGAAAGACGAGGAGGAGGAAGAGGTGGAGGAGGATGTGGAGGATGATGTTCAGGAGGAGGAGGAGGAGCAGAAGGGGAGGAGAAGGGGAGGAGGAGGGGAGGAGGAGGAGGAGGAGGCGAGGGATGATTATTATGATCATGATGCTGATGATGATAATGCTGCTGATGATCATGGTGATGCCAATGATGATGATTATGTTGATGCTGATCCTGATGCTGATGATGGTGATGGTGGTAATGATGATCATGTTGGCGATTCTCATTAGCTTATTTTTTTTGGGGGGGGACTGTGGTTGCGACGGCGACGAATATGGTGTTGCTGATGATGATGTTGATGATACTGATGATGCTGATGATGATGGCAATGATGCTGATGTTGATGAATACGAGGGCAATGAGTATGGTGTGATGCTGATGATGAGGATGTTCCGGATGATAATCATTATATTGATGACGCTGATGACGCTGATGATGAAGGTGGCGGTGCTAATGTTGATGATGATGGTGATGATGATCGTGCTGAATATACGGATGATCACAATGCTGATGTTGAAGCGGTGGTGTTGATGATGCGGATGCTGTTGATGCTGATGATGGATCTGCTGATGCTGATGACGATGCTGTTGATGACGATGCCGAACACGCCAATGCTCATGCCTTTGCTGGTGATGAGGACGACGACGGTGAGGATGTTGATGGTGATGATCTTGATGTTGCTGATGTTGATGGTCATGATGATGATGCGGATGCTGATGCTGATGGTAAGTGCGATGATGTGTAAGATGATGCTGGTGGTGGTGATGCTGGTGATGCTGATGCTGCTGCTGGTGATGCTGATGATGGTGCTGATGCTGGTGAGGGTTATGCTGATGCTGATGATGATGCTGATGTTGCTGCTGACGATTCTGCTGACGACGATGATGCTGGTGATGCTGCTGAGGATGATGGTGATGATGAGAATGATGATGATGTTGATGATGTTGATGATGAAGATGATGATGATGATGATGCTGATGATGGCGATGCTGATGCTGATGCTGATGCTGATGCTGCTGATGATACGTATGATGATGATGATGATGATGATGATGATGCTGATGATGATGATGATGATGATGATGATGAAGATGATGATGATGATGATGATGATGATGATGATGATGATGATGATGATGATGATGCTGATGATGCTGATGATGATGATGATGATGATGATGATGATGATGATGATGATGATGATGATGGCGGCGAAGGCACTGATGATGAGGGCACTCGTTAGGATGAGTTTGCAGATGCTGCTGCTGGTGATGATGATGAGGAGGAGGAGGAGGAGACGGAGGAGACGGAGGAGGAGGACGACGACGACGGCGACGTCCTCTCCCCATGAAGCTGGATAAGGCGGGGAAGCTGAAGCTGGATCAGGAGGAGCAGGAGGAGGGGGCAGGAGGAGGAGAAGGATGATGACAACGAACGGGATGATGATGATGAGGAGGAGGAGGAGGAGGAGGTCGACGAAAGGGGGAGGAGGAGGAGAAGGGAGGAGAAGAAGAAGGAGGTGGAGGAGGAGGAGGAAGTGGAGGAGGAGGAGGAGGAGGAAGAGGACGGGGGACTATGATGATGTTGATGCTGATGATGATGTTGCTGCTGATGGTGATGCTGATGATGCTGATGATGGTGATGGTGATGATGGTGGTGGTGATGGTGGTGGTCATGCTGATCCCGCTCTCCCAAGGGGGGCAGCCGCCGACTCGCGGTCCCCCCCTCGCACTGCAAACATTACGCTTGCTGGCGACCTCGAGCGATCACGCGGAGGCAGGGGGGAGGGAGGGCCGAGCTCTGCTTGCGACCCCCATCTGGTGGGGTGCAAGCCATGCTTCAGACGCTTCACACCCTCCTGATGGCGCTGTGAGGCGGGGCGCTCTGGGCAGGCGTCGCCAAGCTTCGTCACACGGACCGAAGACGTATAGCCTCCGCGCACAGTGCAGAACGCCACACCCTGAACACACCCTGAACACGAAACGTTCCGCCCAGGGGGGGGGGGGGGGCAGCGCCTCACCGACAGAAGCCCTGGAACCGCCAGAGCCCCTGGGCACGCTCGGTTGCCCCCCCTCGGGGGAGGTGGGCCCGCTTCCGCGGAGGGCGACGCCCGCGCCCGCGCGCGGGAATGGGCCGAGTCGGGCGGGGACTCGGCCCATGCCCGCGCGGGCGGGGCCTCGCCCTCCGCGGGCCCGTGCCCGAGCTCTGGGGTTCCACGGGGGGGCTCGGGGGCCTGGGCTCCGCTGCTGCTGCCGCGAGCTCCTGACCGCTCCTGCTGCTGCTGCTGCTGCTGCTGCTGCTGCTGCTGCTGCTGCTGCTGCTGCTGCTGCTGCTGCCGCGAGCCTCGTCCTCCCGAGCCCCCAGCGCCCCCTGCCGCCGCCGCCGCCGCCGCGACGCCAAGACCGCGGCGGCCCCTCCTCCCCGTTTTCCTGTCTCCATCCTCCTGCCTACCGCCTCCCTCCTCCTCCTCCTCCTCCTCCTCCTCCTCCTCCTCCTCCTCCTCCTAGCCGTTTCGGCTCAGAGTTGTTCTGAGCTTGCAACAGCATGCCTCTTCGAAACGGCCCAGTGTTGTTGCGGGCCTTTGGCTCGTTTTAGTGATTTGTGAGCTCCTGCTGGAGCATTCGTACCCGGCTCCTGAGGGAGCCAAGCATGGATGCAGTCGTCAAAGGGCCGCGGACGCCATATTGGGGCTGCCAGAAGTGCGGAAGAACCAGCAACTGGGCGTGCAGAGTGCAGTGTCAATGCTGTCAAAAAGCGCCCAACCATGTTTTGGATCGAGCGAAGACTTTCGGCAATGGGGCGGGCTCTAGTGCTGCTGGTCCTCGCGGTGGTGGTGGTGGGTCACACGTGCTCGGAGATAAGCGCCAGGCGAAGCTTGAGAAACAGCTGGCAGACATCACCAAGCGATTCGACCTACTGCTCAAGTCCTCTCCCCAGGGCGGCGGCCACGGCGGCGGCGGCAAGAGTGGTTCGAGCCCAGGAGGAGAGTCAACGGAGCAAGCGGAGGACCCCCTGGTGGCACAGGCGGCGGCGCTCGAGCAGGCCATCAAGGCGTGCGGCAAGGAGCATATGTCCTCGGCTAAGGAGTTGTTGGTCACCCAGCTGCGCGACGTGCGAGCCAAGCTGGAGGCCAAGAACAGTGACATCACACAGCACACCAACGTCGGTCACCGCCTTGCCAGGGCGGAGAAGCAGTTGGCAAAGCTC